AGAATCTTGCTTTATATATTGTTTACAAACAAGGAAATTAAGTGTTGATGCTTCCTTTTCAGCTTTCAGGAAACAGCGTAAAAGGATTTCGGTTAATCCGATCTCCAGCAGTTAACTATCAGAGGTTAAACCACACATCGCGTGCAGCATAAGAACACCGTTGACAAAATGATTTGCATGATGTTATTATTGCATATTTATAACGATACAGCCTTTTGCACAAATTATGAGACATTTTTATATATATAAATATACCTAACCAAATATCAAAAACACCCCAGAAATTATGGTATATCTCTATTATATTTTGTCATGATTCCCTAGCATCAGGTTGTTACAGACAAAATATCAGCGACGGTATCCCATAATTTCTTGGGTGTTTGGTTTGGTTTTGATATTTGGTTAGGTATATTTATATATATAAAAATGTCTCATAATTTGTGCAAAAGGCTGTATGATAAGGTATACAACAGTTTGACTGCTCGCAAGTAATGGGGCGATATTTCAGTCTTCAAACACAACTRTCTTTGTTGTTGCTGTTGTTGCTGTAGCTGGTGTTGTTGCTTGTGTATTGCTGTTGTTGTCTGTTACTTTTTCATTGCTTTTTTGTCTATACAATTTTATCATAAGTGCTGACTATTATTCTATTTGTCTATATCTTGCAAATGTTAGCTACATACAATCAGTGTGCTGAACAAAATTAATGGAGTTAAAGAGGGTGGTATTTTAAGAAATAACGTTTTTTATCTTAACCCCTAGTCTGAGAATTGTTCCATAAAAGCCGATTTACGCGATGAGAATTGAGTCGCGTGACTCAACTTACGTGACCAAATCGTACCGTCTTAAAGTGGCTTTGCGACTTGGTGCGTGATGCCTGCGTTTTGTCTTAAGCTTTTAAACCGTTACCTAGGCTCAAAATCCCGCGTGCACAGTCGCATCGTGTAAATTGGCCTTAGAGAGACCTTCATTGACAGCCAATCAGAATCCAGGAAACGTTTGAACTCACTTCATAATTTATTGGCAAAATACTGTAGGGATATATGCCAAATTCCAGTGCAAGTGCAGGCAAAATAAATAAAAACGTACAGAAACAAAACGAAATAAGAAAAAAAGTGCATATATGATAATGGAAATAACCATTAAGTTATATTAAAAATTGAGTTATTGAMTAAAAATGTTTGTCACTAGCCTAATGTTTTTATGAAAAAACGCAGACGTTTCGGTCAGAACTCTGACCTTCCTCGATGCGGTTGTAATAGAAGAGCTACGTTTGCACTCGTAAGTTCACGGGTTGAAAGCATAAAATTAGCACGCGCGATTTTTACAAGAATTTATTATTTGTTATGTAAGCTACGGGTATCGCAGTTCTAAAATTACCCGAGTTAAGGTCGAGTTAAGAAAACCAAGCTTCTAAAAAAAGTCTTTTAATATGTAAGTCTGGCTCCGACTGAAAGATTCTGGCAAAATCCAGAGTGATCGATCTGAGGAATTAGAATGTTCAGCAATTTTTGAGAATGGTGCATTCTGACATACTGCGTCTTCAAGGATCTATCTATTTATTCAGTTTAATATGACTCTTCCTAGCTGCAATTTTAGAATAATTAACCAGTAAGTAATTTGCCAGCTATATAGATCCCCTAGTCAACCCTAAGCCAGTAACCAATAAATATAGGATAGATTCCGGCTCGCAGTCGACCAGGCAGTTGTACAATTCAWGAGCAATGGAATCCCATTTACCCTCGGCTATGGACAACCGTCACGTCACTCTAGCCAAGGATGGGGTTTAACTCTTTTACGCAAAGAAAGTAGTAAAGGTTTGGTTTGAACAAAAAGACGTATCGCCAGGGGCGGCGTCCAGGGGTTCTAGGGAGGCTGTAGCACCTCCAGATTATTTCAAAGCTCTATAAACCATCTCTATAACCTTACTATAAATTGCCAACTTGGAAAAATTCAGCAAGAATTACTTCCTCATAGTTGACCTTTTAAAGATGGAAAACTTCAATCATTAGTCTCGTATAGCACTGACTTCCTTCCTTTTTAGCACTATAGCCACAAAAATAGTATACACGCGAGAATTTTTGTTATTTTTGAGAATTTTTTTTATTTTTGTTTTCATACCGTCTAACTATAACATTAATTTTAATAAAAGCTATGATTGAACCTCAAATAAAAAAATCAAAGCCTGGAGAATAAAATTGTTCATATGTTCCTTATCTGGTCTAACCAGGCTTGATGTTGACCTACTTCCATTACTGGTGTGTAACATTTCACCCTGACCTAAAAAAAATAATAGTTCTCATATCCAATGCTATTAATTGCTATTAATTGCTAACATGGAATAATCCCGTACGATTTACTTCCTCATTGCTAATTGTTCTTATTTGTAATTTTTCTGTGTATTGGACAATTGAAAAACTCATGAAATAACACTTTGATTTTGTCTATATTCTATAGAGGGTCCTGAAGGGGTAAAATGGGACTGGGATTTGCTTCATTTTGGACTGGGAAAATGGGATAAAATGCACTGGGAATGGGATTTGATGCACTGGGAATGGGATGTCAAAATAAAAAAAACAGAACAATAGAAAATGGGAATGGGAGTGAAAAGTTGAGCAAAACCGATGGGGTTGTGTAATTTTTGACTGGGATTTGACCGTCAAGAATCTCAACATATTGGATGACAAGATATTTTCCCCTCACATGAGCGTTTTTCTGTAATGCTCTCCCTCACTTAGCTGCGCAAATAGTGCTTTAAGACCTTAAATTTAAGCCCTTCATTATGTAGTATTATGTAAGTTGGTAATTAATATCGCACTAGCKCATGATGGCATTCAAAGTCTAAAATCATTCAATGATATACAAATCAATGGGTACTTTTTTAATGTTCAGTGGTACATTTTTAATTTCCAATTATTAAATATCATTTAGCACATCTTAAGAGTCAAATTTTAAAATCAACCGTCAACCGTCAAAATGCCCTCTATGGTGATATAAGATAGTCAGTAAAGTTAAGTTTAGTCATCCTGTTTAGCTGAGGCAAATGATATTGATGAGATGTGATTAAATTACCAGCAGATGAAAAGGAAATCGTTTAACACAGTTGCAGTCTGCGCGTTAGTTCACATATCAAAACATAATATATATAAGACACGAAGTCTTCTCAAACTGACATCATTCTGAGACATCATTCACAGAGAAGAAAAGATCCACTGCAAGGAAATCAAAGATGGTAGGTTAAAGTACAATTCTTTTAAAGATAATTGAATCCACAAGTAGTATCTTAGGCCCGCGCTATACGCCGAACTCACATGTGCCGAATACAAATCCTATTTTAGGCGAATTAAATGATTAAATAGGGCATTTGATTTAGACGCCGAATTTTAAGTAACGAATTTAATTAACAATCCCTCTCGGTCACTGTATATTAGTGCCAATTCTCGTGTCCAGATCGCCTCTGTCACCCCTATCATATCCGAAGAGCCCTGGTCACGAGATTTGTGGACAACCCTTAATTTATGTTTATAATTGAAAAATAATGTATGTATTACATTTGGCACATGTGAGATATGGCGTATAAATCAACTCATGCTGCACCATTGACGTATCATCGACTGTTTAAGTCGCAGATTCGACTGAAGTCGTATTTAATCYAATACTGTTAAATTGATTTATACGCCACATCTCACATGCATTTAATCCGTGAATTGAATTCGGCACATGTGAGGTTCGGCGTATTGAGCGCGGGCCTTAGACTTTTTAAATCTCTTCGTGAGATATGGTATATTTTTGGACTGTCCAAACGTCCGAATAAGGAAGGAAATACCAAACATCTATAGATAAATTGCTCCATCAAAATAGTAGCTTTGTGGTGAAGTCTGAGCAAGTATTTTCAATCTTGATTAATTTCAGAAATTTTGTGTGGTTTTATTTGTTGTCTTGGCTGTGTTTATCTATGAAATGCAAGATGCCCAAACAGGTAATATCGCTCGCCTACTATAAGTATTGGGTAGGGAGGGGACTTCTATATGAAAATTCAGTGGATGATGACGAGGGAATTCCGCAATGAATTTTAAGAGAAATATGATATCGCACGAGTCGCGAAGCGTCTCAGGGATCCTGGTTTTTCATTGAATTCAGCATTGAAAGCGTTGGAGTCCTTCACTACGTACGTCACATTTTCGTCATCTCAGACCAATCAGCACGCGAGTTTATTATGTGATATGGGATTCAAAGGGAAATTTCTATGATTATTCTCAGTATTTTGTTGTATAGCAAAAAWTACGGTATTTCAGGCTAACGTTTTTATCATCTCTCAGTGTTTCGATTCCCAAAAACTACTATTTTTGATGAGGCTTCTGAAATAACAAATAACTTTTAATACCATAAATAAGACACAGGTAAAAACATTAGAATATATTTCATAAAACCAAGGTAACTGCACTTCTATCTATCTATTTGTACTTAATGGTATTTAATTTGATCTAATGTTTTGCTTTGCTTCTTCCAAAGAAGCTATGAGCTTCACRYTCTGCCCTTCAATCTCTMTTCCCATTGGATGCTCTCCCGACCAATGGGTGTACAGATGTGAGACCAACCGAGGTTAYGTAAYGACATGTGGATTGAAGTCGCACAGTAGGAGGATKACATGCTCCCCAMCTCTKAACAACCATGCACACGATGGCATAAAGTGTTGCAGTCCTATGTGCCCAAACTAGCAGGAATTAATTTATCATGTTAAACGTATATGATTTAGAGAGCTATAGACAGAGCGTTTTACGAGATCAGACCTTTTATTCACTTTTATTCACATATTTTTGAGAGAGTATACTTTAAGAAATAAAGTATTTCTTCTTAAGCCTTGTCCAAGTGTTATTTCATAAGATTTTTAAAATAAAGTATTTCTTCTTAAGCCTTGTCCAAGTGTTATTTCATAAGATTTTTTTAGATATAGAAAAACAGCTGAGTGACAATCAGCACCTACATAGTAAATGCCTTACATTCAAATAATATTTGGTGTAAAGAAATTGGATTATTTTAATATAAAAAAGCTAAAAAAGCTGTAAAGGTTTGGGTTGAACAAGGGTAAGTGTTACTGGCTTGCTAAGCAAGGATTCCTTGGAAGAATTGCCAACACAATAAAATCCTGCATGATTTAATTCCGTGCACTTACGGTTACTTACGGTTGTAGAGCGGTTTCCTTCTTTCGAAACATTTACCATGCAGCATAGTTAGGGGCAYGATGTGTCATTTTCTTGTCGCGTGGGGAATGGGACGAAGTAATCCAGGTGGTGTACCTGTCAATTTACTCATAAGAGTGCGCTCTGAAAGTAGGAGGCAGGGCGGTGTGCACAAGACTTTGAAGCCAGTCAAGCTAATTCGGCAAAGTAACTTATGTCAATTCTATCACTGGTTAGAACTTAGGTGGTTGGCATAATACTTCTAAGTTAGTTAGTTTTTCTAAAGTCATCTAAAACCAGAATGAAAAGACTGAATAAGTACCGTTTTGACCGATGTCATTTTGTCGGATTTCAATCTAAATGCAAAACGCTTTGGCAATAATAATCATTAAAGTTGTATTTCCTCTGGGCCATCACCAATTGGTTTTAAGCTGTTGTGATGTCTTTGTCGGGAAACTCAAATTTATTTAATTCTCAACAACTTTTGAACCATTAAACGCATTTGGATGAAATTTTCACCGAAGTGCATCGTTTACATTGAAGAAGATAACCAGATAGATTTTGAAACCAAAATCAAAACTCTAAAAATTATTGCCATATTTGGACATTGATTATGACGTCATCTTTTCAACCAAAATAAAAACAGTAGCGCAAATAAAACKTGTCTACCTTGACACTATCTTCACGACAAGTTTCGTTAAATTTTGATTATTGTATGAATTTCTTTGAGGACTTATACCGAGTGGGAGAAAAATCGCCACTTCTTACCATCGCGAAAATTCTAATTTGTCAACATACATCATTATAATAAGTGCGTCAAAGTAAAGTTATGTGATTTTCGTTCTATCTAAAAAATGCTAAATGTTACTGAATTGTGTCCCATTRAATAATCTACATTATATTGCGCTATATCGTTTTCACGCTTTTTGTGTTTGCACTCGTCAAGGTACATTTTATATCTAAGAGAATTGAATCTCAAAGTAGGCTAAGCTAATAAATTTTTTAAAAATGTTCGATCAACAATTCATCGTTGATGTTCTATTACACTGTGATGGCTACATCGTCTCCAATAAGAAAGAAGGCCSCCCAGTACTTTGGCTCCTCATATCTCTCTATTTCTYTCATTTCCTTCATTGCTTGCTGCAGACTCGCACTTGCACTCTCTCCATTCTTGAGATGAGAGTAGAATTTCATCATGAAGTCATTTGTGGCTGTGTCGTCAATKGCCCAAAGGGAGGCTACAACGGCACGTGCTCCAGCCGCAAGAAAKGCGCGAGCAATTCCAACCACTCCTTCAGACCTGATGTCACCTTTACCGGTGTGACAACAGCTCAAAACAACCAGTTGAGCACGAATTCCGCTCTCCTGTGCTTCCTTCATGGTCAAGATGCTGCCCTTGTCATCTGCTGGACACGAATTCGTCGAAGGGTTAGAAGGAGCCAGTAAGATCTGGCCTTTTTCCTTGCTGCCGTGTGCAGCAAAGTGGATCACGGACACGCCTTGCTTTAGTTTTTCCAAAATTACTTCTTTTGTTGCTTGTTTTCCTATCAATGGTTGAACACCGAGGAGGTTACCAATCTCGACAGCTTCTTTCTCTGCACCAGGTAAATCACTTGTTGGGTTTCCAATGATCAGCGCCCCTGACTTGAATGAATGAGAAAATCATTATAAATGATATATTTTGGGGGACTGGAATCCTAGGAATTGCACCAGGAGCTTCAAGACAATGATGCCAAAAAAATGAAAATGATTAAAGAAGACAGGTATTTTTTGCATCACAATAGAAAATCTGCTCTTAGCGATATTTTTTTTATAGAAACCATTTTAAAATGGACGAA